TGTGTGTGTGTGTGTGTGTGTGTGTGTGTGTGTGTGTGTGTGATACGTAAGCTTTGTACCACTGCATTACAAATTTACCTTTTAATAAAGTAACCGATCCAAACCAAAGCAAAATCGAGCACATGTGCAATAATAAATTTTGAAAAAAAAAAGGGGGTGTGGGATGTGTGGGCGTGGTTTGTGAGGACCCTGCAGATTGAGGCTCAGAAGGCTGGACTCATAATATAAGAATTTAATAACAAAAATAAAGGCTGACAGGGCAGCAAAACAAAAACACAAATGCAAACAACAAGGAGCAGGCGAGGAATGAAGAGAATAACCAGAAAAAAAATAACTGGCGGGCAGCGAACAGGACTACAGGAGGATGGACCGCTGAGTGAGTGGGACGCAGGAGTGTAAGTAGGCGTGTGGAGAYGTGAACGCAGCTGGTCTGATTAGAAAACGAGGGACAGGTGAGAGACGAGGGGCAGGGCTGAGTTAGGGAAGAGCCAGATAACCTCTATGAATCAGGGTTTTTTTTTTTTCCCTCTTCAGGTCTCGAGGATCTGGTAATGTCTGGCAGTCTTTGCGCGAAACACRGGGGACAACCTGGACTGGTCTAAAACCAGTCCATCACAGGGACAGAAAGACAACCATTTACACTCTCTTTGTGGGAGGAAACCGGAGGAACTGACAAAATGATAGTACCATCGAGGACAAAATAATCAAGATTAACGCCAGTTGCAGATTCAGGATGTAAAGAAYATGTAAGCTAAACGTTTGGATGTGAACTGTTCAGCTACAGATTCTGCTGCTATAACAGAAAACTATAAAAACAAACTAACACTGCAGAGTTTCTGAAAGTGAAATTAAATCAATCTGGGACTGATCTTCAGTTCATGTTTCCACATCCTGACTGAGTAATTACTCTGCAGCAGCAGCAGCTTTTCACCACCACGACTCCTGGAAACAGGTGGACGCACAGCGCTCGTGATAACTTGGACCGACACCTTGTTAGGACGACAGAAGAACGCAAAAAATAAYTCCAAAAATTACCTCACACCTGCAGCCTGCGGCCATGTTGTGGTGAGCTGCTTTGTACACAAGCCGGCGCCCGTGTTGTCACAATATGGGGACGCGCCACCGAAAACAAAAGCGGCGGCTCGTCGAAACTCGATGAATGAAAAGTTGAATTACCTCCCATTACGGTGGTTCTCCCTCTAATGTCCGAATCGATACATTTTAACCTGATTAAGATGAGTGCAGATCTCTGAGCACTGCAGGGAAACGCYGAAGAAAGAGTTGTCCTGATGCATCTCAGTAATTCAGGTAAAAAAAAATCAAAAAGAAAAAAATTGTATAGGTCTTCTGGACGGGTTCTTCTCTAATGAAACGTTTCGTC